GATCCCGCCCTGTCCCGCCACGATCCAGCCCCGCCGCGATCGCTCCCCGTCGTGATCCCGCCCTGCTCCGTCCCGATCCCGCACCATCCCCGCCGCGATCCCACCCCGCTGCGCTCCCTCCCCGTCCCGTCCCGCCCCGCGGCGGCGCGGAGCAGCGGACTCGGAGGCGCGGGGCAGCGTTTATGGGCGCGCTCGTTCAGGGGCCGCTCAGAGCTGCGGGTCGCCGAAGCCGAGGCGGCGCTGCAGGGCGCGCAGCTCCCCCAGCAAGGCGCCGCGGCGCAGGCCGAGCTGCCGAGGAGGGAGAGGGTCAGGGSCTGAGGAGGACCCAGCCCTCGTCCCCCTCCTTTCCCAGACTCTGCCCCCGAGCCCCGGCCTGAGGGATGGGGCGAGGGCAGGAGCTGCGGAATTCACAGAATCACAGAATGTTCAAGGTTGGAAGGGACCTCTAGAGATCATCTAGTCCAACCTTCTCACTCAAGCAGTACACCTAGAGCATGTGGCACAGGGCGGCATCCAGGCGGGTTTTGAAGACCTCCAGAGAAGGAGACTCCGCAACCTCCCTGGGCAGCCTGTTCCACTGCTCTGTCACCCTAACAGTGAAGAAGTTCCTCCTCACCTGGAGATGGAACTGCCTGTGTTTCAACTTAYACCCMTWRCCCCTTGTCCTGTCACTGGCCACCAATGAGAAGAGCTTGGCCCCTTCCTCCCTACATTCTCCCTTCATGTACTTTGTCAGCTTGAATTCAAGTACCTGATTTTCCTATTCAGCTTGCACCTAAAAAGGCAAAGGGTTGGCACTGCAGGGCACACAGCAGCSTGTGCCAAGCAGCAGAGGTGGCTTCTGTCTGGGCTACCCCCACTGTCACAGGGACCCTGCTCGCTGCCCCCCTGRCCGTGCAGAGATACTGACCTTCAGRGTGTACTTGTAGCACTGCTCTGCCTCCAGCTGCCGTCCTCCCTGCAAAAACAGCCCCCGAGCAGCCACTGAGGAACAGGTCGAGGAAAGGGGTGCTCAGCCAAGCAGCATTTTGCAGCAGAGCTCAAGGAGAAGGATGGCTGACAGGGGAACATTCACTTGATGGTGACAAAGAGCTTGGGCCATTGGAGCACTGCTCTGTTTTCCCGTGCACCCCATGGAACACAGCCCTCAGTCTGTTTTTACCACTGAGATCTACAGGATGTTTTTCAGGCTCAGGAGCCACTGTGGCTAAAACCCATGTCCCTGTATGGCTGGGCAGCTGCCTGGCTACTCACGTGCAGGCAGACGAGGGCCAGATATGCCCACACTTCAGCATTCTTGTTATTCAGGGCGTTCGCTTCCGCAAGAGCATCCTCTGCTTCTGCCATCTCTTCCAGCTTGAGAGAGGGAGAGGTGTGAAGACAAGGCACATTGCAGACAGAAAATCCTTCAGAATTTATCAAGCACCTGCTCAACAGCCAAAGAAATCAATGCAATAAAAGCATCTAGCAGGGTTCTTGGCACTGAGTTGTTCTCCGCTGCCCGTGACAGCGGTGGAGGGAAAGGATTTTGAGCAGAGCATCATCAGCAGCATCTGCTGCGTGCAAGCAGCATTGGAAACACCATTCCTGATCCCTCTTCCCACAAAGCTGCAGGAACTCCCTGGAGGCAGGGGTAGCTGGCACCCTGCCTGCCTGCCTGCAAGCCCTGGGACTATATTATTCCCAGCCAACATTTCAGACACCCCTGGCCTCTCAGGGTTCTGGATTCCTTTGGGCAGGGAACGCGCTGCGATTCCTCTCTGTTGCCCTTCTGCTCAGTTGCTCTGTGGTGCCGTGCAGGCCACGTGCAGGCAGCGCTGGGGACAAAGCCCAGGCCCAGGTTACACACTTGCCATGGCCTACCGGGGAAGGAGGCTCTGCCAGGCCCAACAAAGGGATCAGGAGAGCACTGTTCTCTGGGCAGCTGCTTTGGGGGATGTCCTCTTGACATCTGTATGAGCAGCCCAGGGTGCCCCCCTTGGGAATGTGACAGCACACAGCACAGGATGGCCTTAAGGAGCTTTGCATTCACAGACAGATTAGTCTTTTCTTTAACGAAGGAGGTCATGCAAAAGCAAGCCCTGCACCCCAGGACCCCTAAAGCCAGTTACAGTACAGACCACTGGAACACTTTGGATCTTAGACCTATAACTTACCCTATAGCAGGCAATTCCCACTCCCAGCCAGGTGAGGCAGGACGCCGAGTTCTTGCAGGCCAGCAGGTAGGTCTGCTTCGCCCTGCCGTACTGCCAGGGAGAGAGCCATGGGTTTGATGGCATCGTGGGCATCGCGCCACAGCCACCCCTCTCCTGGGCCATTCCCCCAATGCCCCATCTGCCCTGTTCCACTCCTCACCTCCTTCTCCTCCAAGTAGATGGAGCCCAGGCGCAGGTAGACGAAATGCATGTCCGCAGCATCCACCACAAAGCTGACGGTGTGCTCGTAGCACTGCTTTGCCTCTGCAAGGTCTCCCTTCAGGAAGCACAGGTGCCCCTTCTGAGCCCACACATTGGGATTCTGCACACAAAGCCGGGAGACRTGGCTGAGAAACAACAGGGCGACAGATCTGCAGGGAGGGCAGGGACCTCTAATCAGCAGAAAGGAAGAGCTGACAGATATTTGATTATAGAGGAGTGCACTTCATAGACAAAATAAAAATCATCTTGGAGGGCTGTCTGCATAACAGCAGTGATGGAGGCCACCTCTGGCCTCCCCTGCGTGGTGTCCTCACCTGTGCAAGGCTCCCTCGGTGTCTGTGGGCACCAGAGACATCAATTTTAGAGCCCTCTGTAAATCCCATTCAACATGACAGTCTTGAAAGCTACTTCCATTTGTACTAAATAGCAACTGTCCTTCTCATAAAAGCAAAGCTGACTGACCAACACAGCAGAAAAGGATCAGGAAATACATGTACAGGGGGAACAGAAAGGCAGCCGATGCGCAGAGAGGAGTCCTCATTCAAAAGCCACAGCTCCATGGGGAAAAGCAAACAGTAAGCTAGGTAATGAGGAAGGCAGCGCTGCGGGCCACATCCTAATGTGGTTAATCAGCTTTGCTTGCCCTTCCCTGGAAAAGGGCTGCAGACTAATGTGAGAGTTTGCTCAAGGGGAAATGAAGCATGGGCTCTAGGTTCACACTGCAGCATCAAAATAGGCAGAGTTTGCCGCAGTGTTTGCCCAATCTCCYGTTATTTACTGCACCATGTTAAGAYCCAGAGCATTACCGTGTAGTCGAGTCTAACGGCCTCGCAGAGACATTCTTCAGCTTTGGAGAAGTCTTCCTTCAGCAGGTAGGTCTGGGCCAGCGCCAGGTAGTAGCCACAGCTGGGGCCTCCCTGGAGGCTGAGGAGCTCGTGGGCAAGCGCCATGTGCACAAACTGAGGAGGGCACAGCGGCAGGGTYGGGAGGGCAGGCAGAGCACTGGCACCCTCAGGAGGTGCACACACTGCCTGCATACACCAGCATACACTTCGGGAGCACTGCCTTGCATCCCTGACTTCCATGGGCAGGAAAAAGGCAGGAGGTTTTTTCCTTCTCCCTTGATAAGTTTACCTCCTGTTGCTTTTCCTTCAGTTTTGCTTTAAGCAGCTCTCACTGCCATGTAAAACCAAGGCAGACAGCACAATGTGGCAGTCAGAGAAATCCCACAGAGATCACCGTGTGGGAAAGGAACACCCCACCAGTGATTTAAAAATTGCTCTGGCACATGCAAGTGTCTAAAACGAGAATGGGGAACCGGCTGGGAAGCATCACAACAATGCATCTCCTCTGCAAGTGTAAAGGGAAGGGCACATCTGCGGGGATCTTCTGCAGCTTGGTTGCTCTCCACAGCAAGCASTGCTGAGCTGAGGCACTGCAGCAACTCTGCCTGCCTGGGATGGCTGAGTCCCCGGGAAGCATTTTGGTYTGAATAATTTCCCTGGCTGCAGTTTTGTATTACTTGCCAGTGGTRCTTTTACTCCTTCTTGCACTTAGCATCTGCTGTGGGCACAGCTTGTTCTCTAAGCCCCAAAGAGGGGCTTTTGGAAGCTCTTTTGTAATAAACCAGCCTCCCCTCCCTCTCCTCCACTCTGTTTAAAGCTGACCTGGATGGCATTGACTTTCATCAGGAAGTCCACTGCCTTCATGAAGATGGAGCAGGGAGGTCGGCTGAGCCCTGGAACAGGGGGTGGCGCTGCAAGAGAAGGTGTCACTGTCACTCTCCAACTAGTCGCTCTGTTTCTGAAACCAGAGCAAGGAAGGAGACCCCAGGGGGGSCTCAGAACTTGAGCATCACAGTGTGAAACCCAGGACATGGCAGGGGAGGCTGAAAATACATTAATTCATAAATTCTTTCTGAAGAGCTTAAATTTTTAGAGACATGAAAGGAAACTACATTCTCAGCTTGTAAATTTTTCAGGCCAGGCATAGAAAGAAAACATTGGAATTTATATCTGAACCTTGTTAAATACAGCAAGGCCCCTGCCTGCTTAACCCAATCCATCRGAGCCCGATTCCCCCAGCCCTACCATCTCTTTGCCATCCATGGGGGAGCAGAGCTGGAGAGGAGGCAAATCGCACAGCAAGTTTGGAGGAGATCAATGGGGACAGTTTTGTAGATGGCATCTCAGGAGAGAGGCAGCAGAGGGAGGCAGCCACATGGGGAGATGTCAAAACACAACAAGGCAGAAGGGAATCGCGGGATGAAGTCCACAGAGGAGAGCCCTGGCTGCCTGTTGAAGATGCACGTGAGTCCCCTCCTGGGTGGGATTCCAGCGGGACACGGCAGCTGGATCCCCACAGCTGCCTGGATACAGGAGGTGTAGTGCTCCAAAAAATCAGGATAAACCCACTTGGCTGAAGACTCCCAAGACAAGGGGAGAGAACAAAACTCGCTGTCTTGCCTTGGCATCAGGACCATCATGGCTCTGTGCTCCCCAGTTAGTCCCCTTGTCCACTGCTTGCAGCAAGGCCTCTCCCAGCACTGAGATCTTGTCCCTTCTTTACCAGGTCCCCCACACCCTCACCTGTTGGGGCTGCCTCCTTGTTCTTAGGCCTCCTGTTCTGCTGAGCAGTCGCATCCTCCTCGGGCTGCGCAGGCTCCCTCGCCTCTGGCTGCCTGCTGGCCCCACTGTCCTCAGCCTCCTCTGCAATGAAACCCCACAAAGAACATTAGGTGCAAAGACCATCCATCAACTGGCCAGTTTGGAGCAGAATCCCACAGGAAGAGAGAAAATAGAAAAGAATCCTCAGGTTTCCAGGACTTGGATGAAAACTTAGGGATGAAAACCCAACTTTGGGTGAAAACTCTTTGCAGGATACAAGTTGAGGGGATGGAGTTTTGTGTAAAAGAGGCCGAGTGAACAGAGGAATGGTTATAATATCCCTTGTATATATATAATAGGCCAAAAAAGGCATATGACATTGTAGGCCTGTGTGCCTGAGGCACTTTGCTTTGAGTGATGGTAGTGTTAAGAGGAAAACCAGCTGGAATTTCCCACATCCTGGCCAAATACGTAGGACTTGGGACAGAAAGTCCTGGTGCAATATAAGTCTCGGCTCAAATAAGCTCCAAAAAAGCCCTTCAGTTCAGGGCCACCATCGAGCTGCCCTTTTGTCCATTTCAAGTAGTTCAGACTAGGCTATACTGGGAACTCGAACGAGCAGCTTCTAAAGCCAACCATGATTAACCACAAAGCACAACTGTCACAACGGCAGCTCTACCCTTCTGCAGCTTCAGAAAGGAAGTCGTTTCTTCTGGTTGCCCTGGCTGCTGCCCACACACCGGTACCAGCAGCACCGGGCCGCGCCCAAGCRATAGAAGCAGAGGCTGATTCCTCTCTGGGTAAGAGGAAACATTGTGTGCTGCTTTCAGAGCACATTTATAACAGCACRTTTGTTGCTCTTCTCTGCCTCTGATACCTAAGGTTCATGGTAGGCTATTCCAGCTCTTGGTCCCCATCTTTCCTTACAGTTCTCCACCTAGGTCCCACTGTTGACCATCTCCCACGCTGCTCGGATCCCCCTCCTTGCCATGGCCAGGCTACCTGCTGGCTTTGCTAGGGATTACCTGGCAAGGACTCTTCTGGATATGGATTGAGAGGCCTCCCACACTCAACAGAGAGTCGTTTTTTCCTTCCTTCTCCCTCAGCAGCCCCAGGCATGCTCCTCTCCATGGCGAGCTGCGCCTGCATTAGCTTGTTAGCCTCTCGGAAAGCCATTTCTGCCCTAATGTTGTTATTTTGCAGCTCATAGAACAGACCTATGGGAGAAAGGAAGAGCAATAGGAGCAGAAATCATTCACTTATCCCTCAGATTAGATCAAGGGAAAGAGGARCAGGAGACTGAGCAGCACTCAGCTATTCAGGAGTGCCTGGGGCACACAGACTGGCTTGCTTTTGTACCTGAAAGAGTCCAAACTACAACACTGAGTGGTTGCAAGCTGGTGGCATCCTCAAAGAAGATCTCTGCCTCTTCATAATGCTGCAGCATGACTGCTACAATCCCACAGAGCAACAAGCTGGAGACAGGGTCCAAGAGGTTATCTTCACAGGTCCCAGCCAGTGACATGGGGGACATCCCTCCCTCTCATGCACCAGGGACCCCAGTACCTCTGCACGTGATGTGGGTCCAGGCGAAGAGCCTCCCGGAAACATTCCTGGGCTTTGATTGTGTCCTCGAGCAGAAGGCAGAACGCGCCGTAGTCCAGCCAGCACTGGATGTTGTGCTGGTCCTGAGCTATTCTCTGAACACAAAGATCATTGCTGGAGTGGGGACTCCCCAAAACCACACTCAGTAAGCACGTAGACCAAGGAGGCAGTTCTGGAACAGCCACTGCTTTCCTTGGCCATCCTAGCTCTGTTGAGCAACAATAAAGCCCTTCTCTATCACCTGCTAGGGTTTCCCTTAGCAGGAATCATGCTTTACTTTCTCTAAGGCTCCTTACAAGTCCTTCAGCTTCAGCTGACCTCCCTGCAGCCTCTTGTTAGAGGATCCAGTGTTCCCAGCACTCACCCCACATGCCTTCCCATGCTCATCCCATTTCTCCTAGCTTTGAGGCTGAAGATCTCAGTGACCTGGCCAGCCTCTCTCCCAATCCTCCAGAGAGCAGCATTTGCCTAGCAAATCCCTCACACCGAGCAGGAGCATCCTGGTCACATTCACCTCTTTCCTCTGCACACAACATACGTGGCTGGCTGCTGAGCCCCTGGTCTGTCATCAACTGGGGCCCCRTGGCCACTGTGGTGGGGTGCTTGCTGCCAGCCCAGGCGCATCGGAGAAGGACAGGAAAGAGCAGGGGCTGCTTCACCTGCTGATGGTAGAGAGATGCCAGCTGGTAGTCCCTGCCGACTTCAGCTTCGCGAGCAAAGAGCCGGAGCTGCTCGTCGGTCGCACAGGATGGAGGGACAGGGTCAGCAGCTTCCTCGGAGAGCACCTCAAAAGGGGTGAGAYGGCGAGTTAGTGCTGGGGAGGGTGAGGAAGGCTGATGTGATCACACTACGGCARCAGTCCCTGATCCTGCCCCATGCAGAGGAGGCTCTGGTGTGCCCAGGCTGGGGAGGTTGGAATGTCAGGCTGTCCCAGCTGCTGCCTGTGTTGGGACACATTTTTGCAGTCTGGGGAACTCCCAGCTAGCCCTGTCACACACGGAAGGTGCATTCCTGTTATCTGCAGGAGTACCTCTGACAAGTACAAGCATCCCTAGATCAAAAACATTCCAAACTTCCGTCATGGTGTCACTTACTGGTGACCACAATCCATGCTGGGAGGTCTGTCCTCTACCTGTGTGACTGTGCCAGATAACACAGGCCCAGACACTGTTGCTGGGACTGTCAGGTACAGCAGCTTTTCCGAGAGGCACAACACATGCATCCTACCATGTGGATTATATAGCAACGGATTCATCAAACCCTGATGCTTAAATATGGGCCTCTGGGAGTGGCTCAGGGCCCACATTTAGGAAGTACAGCAGAGGGAAGCACAGCCCTGCTTCTGTCGTGAAGGCAAAAGCCTCGCTGCCTTCGCCTGAAGGAGGGTCAAGCCCCGGCTCCACAGTGAAGCCAGTATGTCCCAGGCACCCATCCCACTTGCCAYGACTTCTGCCTACCTGGTTCAAGGCGACATGCATCTGATCCACRAGATACACATAGAGTTCACTGAGAAACGCCTGGAACTGCTCCATAGACTCAAACGCTGTTGTTTTCAGGTACTTCTCCCTCACGATCTTCACCACTGCATACTGCAGAGACACGAGGCTGTTGGACAAGTCCCCTGTCTCCCCTGCCTCYCCAACAGCTCTGTAATCACGGTAGCACAGAGCCAAAACACAACTGATYCAGCCTGAAGCTCCAGTTTAGCTCTAAGGAAGAAATCCAGTCCAGTACCAATAGAAGGAAGAAAAACAGAGATGATTTCCCTTCCTGCTCCTCAGCCCTACCTCTCCCAGCTACAACAGCTCTGGATAGCTGGGATTTAGGGATAACCTGGCACTTGTTATACCACCACAGAGCAGCAGTTCCTCAATGAGAAACTGCCAGGGCAGGAGCAGGTAGGGAAATAAATCAACACCACAGAACCCTTGCCTTTAGCTGTTCCTTATAGGCAAAATATTTTCCTGAGCTATTGAGCTCAAAGTTGAGCTGACACTTCTGTTCCTCCAGGGTTTGCTGATTTATGGCTCCTTGGTCAGACAGCTGCTTCCCGAAGAGCTCGTGGTATTCATGCAGGATGGCAACAGCGATGCTCGCGATCTGGTTGTGATAATCTTCTACAGCCTAGAACACAGGAATCCGCAGTAAAAATAAGTAAGAAAACTTCACAAGTTACTTGTGCCATCAATCTTGAACCTTACATAAACTCCACCTGACTCAGTCTCAATTAGTCTGTCACATATTCTTTTCTTTCCGTGCCTGAGGGCTATGAAAATATCTACCTGTAAATACAAAAGAGCTCCTTGATAATTAGATTTTGCTTCTGCTATGTTTTTCAGTAAGAATGCAGTATTTCAGTCATCATCTCTTTTATAGCATCGTAATTAGCCATAAGTAAAATATCTCATATGGCGGGAGCCCCTTAAACCCCTGGGCCAGTACCCTTCAACAGAATCTGTAATCTCCATAATGTCAAAGACAAAAGCTTCCACGTACAGAAATGCTCAAAATTTGTCTCTTTCTGCACTCCAGACAGTCCRGCACAAATCAATCCTGCAGCAGCTCTGGGGTCAACTATTTAAGCACTGCTAAAGTACTGCCCTACCACTGTTCTAAACTGACCATTGGCCGTGGGGCATCCAAGGACATGCTCCTGTGATAGCTGCTCCATGCCTAGAAGGAGCCAGTGCTCTCAGGCCATTTTCTGGAGTCAATATATTGCACACACAAAAAAACTCAAAAATTCTCAGTTACCTGAGGGTAACTCTATTACTCTGTGACTCTGCTCCTGTTTGTCTGGGTCTGGAGAAGCACATGTCTTGAGACAAAAAAGACTGGGACTGTCCAAGGGTAAATACAAACCTCTGGTAGCCTTCCTCAACATCCAGCTCCCAAMCACCTCCATACTCTTCCTCTCTGCCTCTCCTAGATCTCTCCCTCTTGTATGGGCTGTGAACAGGGGTAACACAACCCATGCATGGTTTTCCAAGGCATGATATTGCAAAGATAACATATCCAGAAGGTTTCTTGCCCATGTGTCTCCTCTACACATCCCATCTGTGTGTCACTGGGGAGATCAGACTGAAAAGGAAGCTCTCCTGTGCAAGAGGGATGAGCTAGAACAAGATGGGAGCGTGGTGAGGTGGCAGCGTGGTGACAAGGCACAAACCTGCTCAGCTCCTGCAGTCCGGCGAGGCAGCAGAGGGCGAGGAGGRATCATCTCCTTGACCCTGTCAGTGAGATAAGAAAAGAGACCAGTATAAGACGTTGCCAGGGATGCTCACTTGTCTTGGGCACAGAAAGCCCAAGCTCATCACAAGCTCATCATCGTATTCCTGAGATACCTCACAGGGACAAACAAGGGGAAAAWTGTGAAATTTCAAACCAAGAACGAGCTCCAGCCCAGGGTGCCTACAGTCAATCCTTGCAGCTCGTAATAATTTCTTGGCAGAGCTAACTACTGCCTCGCTCTCTGTTGATGATTTTACACTCAACGGAGATTAGAAATTTACTTAGTTATTTTCAGTAATTTGATTGACCTGTCACACAAAAGCTACTTAAAAGCTGCTTTAGAAAGGCAGCCCAGCCCGACAGGTGGAGTTAATGTGTGCTATTGCCAATATTCAGCCCCACTCTGCTGCAAAAACAGTCCTTCTTACCAAGTTATTATTCTTTTAACTCTCAGCTTCCTTAGTCTCCCAAAATAGATGCAAAAAAAAGCACCAACCTGAAGAAATCTCTGAAGAATTCTGTCACTGAGAACCCCAGTCTACTCAGGCCATCAGCTCCTGACATCCCACAGTGCAGCTGTGGGACTCTATGCCTTGGCCACACATAGGCACAGTATAATATAAAGAAACCAGTTTGAAATATTACACTGTATACAATGATCTTGCAAATATTTATTAAAATCCTTTAGGATTACAGTAATTTCAGTCAACATTTATATAAAAAGTTCTTCATTTTCTTCATTTCAAAACAGCTAAATTCATTGGGTTCTYTAGCAAGCTTTCTTCCCCGTTGGCACGAAGGCACCACACATCTCTAAACCACTATCCAACCCACTCATCCATCCTCTCCTGTCTTGGTCCCTGCTTCTTCTGCACCAAAGAAAAACCACTGCTGAAACAGTTCTGCCAGCCAACAGAGCCTCTGCCCAGAAGACTTCTCCAGCTCCTAATTCCAGGTCTCTGCTACTCTCACAACTACAAAACCTCTGCACAGAGGCAAAGACCTGATAGGTTTCACTGTTTTCCACCACTGTTTTCCAAACCCAACATTCACAGGAACAGGTCTGCCCAGTCCTTCTCCCAGATTTCAGGGGGTTTTGGATCACATGCTCAACTGGTCTTGGAGGGAGTGGATCCCTGTACAGTCCTGGTTTTGTCCTGTGGAGCCCCTGAGTGTCAGCCCCAGAGCTGCAGCACATCTTTACRTACTGTATGGCAAGCTCCTCTGGCAATCGTTTTGGTATCAAGGCCTTCTCCAGCTTTATCTCCATCACCAGGAATGTTCCTGCTTCAAAATATTGCTGTGAAGACAAACATTGCTCTGTTAAAATCTTGTCATCTAGAGCCATCAATGGCATGACAAAAGACTGAGCATTAAGCTACAGATCTTCAGCAAATCCCTTTGAAACCRTATACAGCTTGCTTTGTAACCTGCCCTCAAAGTGATTTACAGTAGCAAAATGTAGTTCAAGAAATCAGTCTAGGAAAAAAAAATTAGAGGCCAAACAGTTAATATCCTTGAAGAATGCATAGGCATCTTAGATGATTTGAGGAATCCAAAATATGAAGGAACTCTTCTAAATAAGTGCCTGATTATTCATCAGGGACCTTCTAGCCCAATGCTCCTGCCAGATGTCACTGGAGGAACTCCAGAATAGCATCTGTGTAAGATGTCCCTTGTCCAACTCATTCTCACAGAGGTTAATCATTTAAAAGGTAGGAGCCACTCGCACAGTGATGGTACAGCATTCTTTCCATATCTTTGAGGTACCTGTCCATTGTGGTTGAGATATATGACATTTTCAGCTTCTGCTGGAACATCTGATGACAGGGTTTTTACTACGGTGGACAACTATTAAAGAAAAAAGAGATGTCAGTTGTTCCCATGCAATGTACCTCATGCCTTCACAAATGCAGGATGTGACTTGGGGTGGAGTTACACATTTTTAAACCCAGTGGTTGTATAACTGCTGACTGCTTGCAGCACAACACRTTAGCAAGTCGTGGGCCTGAAGCAGCGAGCCATGCTCCATGCTGCACGTTTGATCAGGCAGCACGTCCTGCARTTCCAAGATGATAAATCTCTCAGCTGGCTGAGGCAGGGAACAGTTAACCAGCAGTTATCTTGAGACACTGACCCCTAGAAAGCAGGTCTGTAAGCCTCATGCAGTATCATGGGTCTCAGCTTTGCARAGCAGCTGAGCTGCAACGAGGGCCCTGGGCCCTCATGGATCTATCCCCTATGTCTCTAGCTCTTGGGGCTAATCCTGGGCTGGGAGTGTCTCTCCCCTAGACAGCAATGGCTCTGGAGACCTCCTATGAGAAGGAGTTGCCACTGCTATCTGAAGCTGGACTGCTCCAGCAAGAAGGACACAGCCTCCTTTCTTATTCCCTGAGGATGGGAGAGACCATCCAGCCTGGCTCCCACTGCTTATATCACACATTGGGGTCTCCTCACCAACTGCAGAGCAGTCAGTCTTCTCCCAATGCAGCATCTGTGCCCCCTGCTTTTTCCATTCCTCCCTGAAGGCAGCAAATGGGTTGTATTCTAATATGCCTCTCTGGACCTTACCTTCCTGATGGTTTCCTTCTCTTTGATGATTTTTTCTTTATCCTCCCTCTGTATCTTACTGGAAACAGTTCTGGAAAGAGGAGGACTGAGTCCTGGGGTCCATTGCCCTTCCTTGATCAGACTGATCTGAGGCTTCAGATCCCGGAAAACACTGACCTGATTTTTAGTCTGGAAAAGAAAAAAAAAAAAAAAAAAAAAAGGAAGACAGTAAAAAGTAAAGAATCAAGGGACAAACTAGTCTTCCTCACTTGCAAAACACATTGACAGATTCTATATGTGCTAAGAAGATTTGCAACCTCTTCCTTCCTAAGAGTTTAGCTGCCTGTGCTCAAGCCCAGCTCTGATACATGCAGCTATGCAACCTCATATTAGATAGCTATGAAGAGAGCTGCACGAAAAAGCCTCCATAGGGGCTTCCCTGTCTTCTCTTGAGAACTTCATTTAAATCGAGGTGCTTGCCCCCAATTTTTGCCTGAGCTTTGTGGCAGCTAAGCTAGTGCCAGCTATGTACTGCCCTGGTCCTAACCCACTGGCTTGATTTCTTGGCTTCATTTTGCATCTGCCTCATCCCCATGAACTTGCCCAGTGATCTGGACCCTTAGATCAACCTGACTGCTCCTTGTTGGTGAAGTCGCTGCCCCRCAGTGAACCTTGGCTCACCTTCCCCTGTGGAAGTTTCCCTGACGCACATGAGGGAATCACGTGGAACTGGCTTTTTGGAAGCCGTGTTTATACACTGCTTGACCACCAAGACAGGCTGCTGCCTCCCAGCTGTTAGTGCAGGAAGAGCTGGGCTGGCAGGAGCTGAGGGAATGCCGGGGAGAGAATGGAGCACTTGTTCCAGGTGCTGCCTAGACCAAAGAGCAGCTCAAACCTTCCAGAAACGCAGGAGATGGGAACGTGTGACTGCACTCGTGACAAATGCTAGAGGACAAGCAGTACTGTGTAGCCTACTGATCGCTGTTTGCAGATGGGATGTTGTGAAGCTGACACCAGAGTACAGCTGGGTGCCTTTCAACAGCCAGCACCCAGCAGCGGCATGGGTGCAGGGAGAAGGGCTGCAATTCACGCAGCTCCTGCAGACAGGACACAGCCCTAAGGGAGAAGCAGGTAGTGAAACCAGCCCGTGTATCTGCCCTCCTGCAACTACCTTGGATCTGCTCCGGGAGCACTGTGGGAAAACAGAGACAAAACGCTCACTTTTAGTAATGTGGGGGGAGCAACACAAAGACAAATAAACCTCCAGGAGCTCCAGCTGAAAGAGCTCCAGTGACAGCTCTTTTGGTGGTTGCCTGGGGTAACGCTATCATTTTGGAGACAGTGTACACTGTTTGTTCTTCCCAGCAGCACAGCTCATTTGCCCATGTTCAGGACTGGGGAGCGAGGAGTGTTCTCRCCACTCTCCCCGCTCAGCTGCTGCCAGGGAAAAGAGTGAAGTCAGCCTCAGAGCTCCCCTTCAGCCCCTAAACCTGCTCTCTCACAGCTTCGACCTGGAAACATCCTCCCTTCGAGAAGCTTGAGGCTAAAAAAAATGGTGTTATTTTTTTCTTCTCCATCAGAAGGGCAGAGAAGCCTCAGAGGCAGTTGCTGGGTAGTGCACAGCCCAACTGTGCCMAGCTGCAGGCAGCAGAGATGGCACGGAGCCTGGCCTGCACTCACCTTCTCAAACACCTCGCTGTCTTTATAGGCAAAGACACGAAAAGCCCCTCGTATCCGCTTCACGCCGGGGTAGAGCAAAGGCACCATGTTGATATATGCCACCCCATGGAAGAAAACCTGTCCGTCGTCATCTCCCTGGAAACACAGAGCAAGGGACAGAGCTCCTGAACTGACTGTTATTCTCTTGAAGCAAACAAGGTCACCGATCCCATTAAGTAAAGGCCACACAGCAAACTGATGCACCTGATGAGCCAGTGGCTCTGTGTCACTGGCACGGAGCCGAGACAGCTTGGAAGAAAAAAAAAAACGGAGTCATTCTATATGCAGAATCCCAATTTTACTCCCATCCCTGCAGGGCAGCCTGTCTTAGTAATGCCCACACCACGCTGTGCCACAGCCTAGGATGCTCTTTTCAAGATACACCTGCTAATTTATTGACTTTTAGGTGAGAAACTCAAACAACCCTACCAGGGTTGTGAGGATTTCAGGTCTGGCAGAAGCCAGGAACCTAAGGAGGTCTGAGACTCTGGATCAGCACTGGGCTGAGGATAAGGGAGGAGGAATTATGGACACATATACTGCAAAATCCTGGCCCTGCTGAGTGCCATTTACACTAACTGTGGTGATGTTGCACTGGGGCAGACTAGGACCATGATCAATCACAAGGAACGGCACCATTAGCTAAGGAGCTGTTTCTGAGTTGAAGCACTCCAGTTTAAGTGGAAGAGCTTAGTGTATTTGCACCCAGAGTAAGAAGACATGAATTTCTTCAAGATGCTCGAAAAACCCTTTAGATAAGCTCAGCAAATGAATTCAGTTCTCCAAAAGTACCTCTTCCCTGGCCCCTTCTACCAAGCTACTTCAGACCATTACCAAGATATCTGCATGCTGTAAGAAAAACTATTTCCTTTGTTTATTTCACAGCTCTATAAGGCTGACTACTCACTTAATGAAGCCACTAGCCCTCTGACTCCCTTTGGCTAGTTCAAAGCTGGCTTAGGTATAATAAAGACATTAAAGGGATGCACGATAGCACAATACTTCCTCCCTAGGCAGAACAACGGATCATCCCTCACTTTTACCTTGTCAACTTTGCTGTTCTTCCCTTTACTGGAAGGGACCAAAGGGACCCTGCAGACCTCCACGGGCCAGTAGCGACACTCGGCGATGCGCTTCTGCAGGCTGAACACAGGGGAGGGCACTGAGGAGCTGCAGAAACCGAGCACCAGAGCTCTCCAACACTAGCCACACTGCCCTTAGTTCTGCTCTTTGCCACCCCAAAACACTCGCCCAGTGTTTGCTCCCACCCTCGGGCATCCAAACATCTGCAYTTCGCAGCAGGGCCCCCGTCTGGCACATTTTCCCCTCCATCCAGTGCTGCGTGGATTTATGGCCCTACCAGCTATAAAACAATGGTGAGGGCAACACACTGGATTTTCTCCCTTGTCTGGTTACTTCAGAAACGAAGCAGATGTAATGGAACATGATTAACTTTGGTATAAATCCTGAACTACACAGGGAAAGCAGACCCTGAGCTCCCACTCAGTGTGCCAAATAACTCTGAAACTGGCAGGCAGGCTGACAAAAGCGTTAAGGGAAAAAATTCAAAACASATAGAAGGGAATATTTCCACACATGAGAAGTAATTTGGCTGTGAAAGTCATGGCCACAGGATGCGGCTGAGGCCAGGAATATGGCAGGCTTCAAAGAGAAATGGGATATTTATCCTGGATTTGAGACTATCTGGGGCCATAATAGGTAATACTTGTCCAATTAAAAAAAATCAAAATTAAATGATAGAGTGAGAGGGTTTTAATATATTGGCAATTTAGCAAAACTGAAGTGGTAGTTAAGAGGAGAGCTGTTTGGACCACCCTGCTTCCTATCTGCTGACGATATCCCTGCTGCTCCATCCTTCAAACCTCTGTTGCAGACCCGAAGAGGGATGGGGAGGAACAAGATCAGTCACAAAGATCATTTCCCAGTGTGGCAGAGGGAGCTGCTGCCAGCAATGAAAGGCAGTTAGCTGCTGTTGGTGCTCATGTGAGTACCTGCAGCAAGYAGATACCTGGAGATAAGGCAGAGCCATAGTTTGACCATGGACTGAGAGCATCAGCACGTCACCAGCAAGACAAGTCACTGGGCTAAGTGAATTCTAGGGTGGCTTTTCCCCACTGCTCGGGGTTGGAAGGGGGGTTTTCAGCTCTCTTACACAAGGACTGCAGCAGGATCCAAGTAGCAACGTCTTTCCATGTCCCACACGATTCTCTTCTTCACGCTTTCTGCCTGGACCCTGAACTCTATGTCCTGTGAGAAACAGCACGTGGTCAGAGCCGGGAGAGCAAATTCCAAGGCCTTCATCATCACCCCCCACAGATTTTCCCTGGAAGAGAACCTGCGGCAGATGGACAGGCATTCAACTCCCCATGCACACGACATCCCAGCAGRGCAATGGACCGTGGTGCTACAGGGCAGCTGCTACATTAGCATCAAGAGCCAACCGTGACAYTGTTAGTCTTTTCTTACCTCTCTTTTGTTGAGTTCTCCATCCTCATCCTCATAAGGGCCACCGACAATGAAGGAGTTGGGTATGTCCAGAGCACCGGGGGCCAAGGTGTTACCAAGTGGCCATTTTTTGGGCCGAGGCAATGGCTCTTTTTCACCACCGAGCTTCGGGACTCCGTTCTTGAAGATCAGGAGGATTTCTTTCTAGAGGGGCATGAGAGTGAAAGGATTTTACTCCCCAGCAGGAGCGAATACCAGCTGCTCTGAKCTGGCTCCAACCAAGCAAAGCAGCAGTGCTGGGGCCTGGCTCGGAAAGAACCCTCCATCACAGCACACATTGGTGAYGAGAAAAAACTAACAGCCRCATGGAAAACAATCCAGCCACATARAAAAATCCTATCAGTTTCAATCCAAATCTTCACGCAAGRCACACAGACCTTCACAGGGAAGCACATTGCACCTCAGAGACCATGGGCAATCACAACAGACCTATTGCAGACCTGCTATAGCACCYGCACAGGAAGAGCTCTGCACTCCCATGGACCTGGACATTCATTCCAGGCTGTGCAGGGAGAACAACCTGCTTCATAGCAGCCGAAACCCATCTCCCTGCACCCGGACCAATTCTCACCTCTCCAACTGCTGGCACTTGCAGACAAGCCAGGTAGTTTTGCAGGGGTCCAGTGGGAACAAACGCTTCGGGGACGGAATAAGCTGCCTCCAAGGTGACACTCAGGAGATTACCATTTAGGAGCTGAGCTGCAGAAAGCAGGGGCTCTTGGATGCACACAGACACTTCAAGGCCACACTGCAAGACAAGGATAAACTAGAGGCACTAGCCAGACAATTATATTTCTCCTCCTCTTGAGGGAGAAGTAAGTAGAAAACCAAGGCCGGAATGTATAATAATATCCTACTCCTCACTTCAGATATAAAAGAAAAGAGACCAGGACAGGAAAGGAATCTCATGATCAGCCTGTCATATGTCTGACTTGTGCTGCTTGTGCTACTTGTTTAAAGCAGAAGCTGCTCAGGGCACAGGATAGGGACAAGCAGGGTTTAATGAAAGGAGAATGGTGAGAGAGCGTGGGGATGGAGGTGAACTCCTGATGCTGCAGATGCAAGTGCTTGAGCCCTGCCCTTTCACCACATCTTGTTCACAGCCTTTAATTACCRTCCCATCCCTGGATGGATGGATGGCTTACAATATAAAAGCAGCTGTTCAGCATTTATTATCTTCCCTTATCCCCCCTTCCCCCTAACAGGCAGGCTCATGCCTCACTTGTTAGGTAACATCTCTCAAATGCTGAAAAGTCAATGCAATATCCACAACCCAATCCACTTGCAGTGCCACTGCATGCAAACTCTGGAGCAAAATTAGATACGTTTTCCCGGCCTCATACTTCATTCACTGGCTATTTTTCAACATGCTGAATGAGTGAGGACCTTGCAGGAAAAGCAGTAAAAAATGGTGTAATAAGGGACGCCGAGACATTTCCTCCGCAGAAGGGAAGACTAATGAGGGTGGGCAGGCAATCCTGCCTGTGCCTTTCACTGATTTTTCAGCACTATACTTGAGCTCTTGAATGCTTTTTCCAGGGCAGCCTGGGAGCTGCACACATTAGCATTTCCTAGCTCTACCTCAGCTATCGTAAGCGACCTGGGACAGACGTCACCGGGGCTCGGAAAGGCCCCGAGCTTTTAATATATAGGCCCGCAACGTATAAGCAATGTGCTAGGTGGCTGAGTCATGCTCGCCCTCCCATTAAAAAGCGGCACGGAGAGGAACGAGCCAAGGAACGCTTCCAAATTCCACATACCTTGGCCTCCGGGGGAACRCTCTCTAATGGAGAGGTAGGCACCGCATACAAAGGAGCCCAGACCTTAAATGAACACTGTCCTGGGAAGAAAGAACAGCATAAAAGGCCTAACTCCTGAAGTTGAGGTGCTACTGCCATCCCCTTCCCCCCAAGCGCCAACGTTTTGCAGACAGCAGCCCATTTGTCAACAAAAGGTCAGGTACAGCAAGGCATCAACACAGAAGATCAAGAGCAGTGAGTGACTGTGGAGACTCTGGAAATCTGTGCCGTACCTTGCAGCAGAGGTAGAAGGTCCACCACAGCTTGGCCAAGAGGCACTGTCCTCTCCTCCCTCTGCCTCTTCTCCTTTGGCAACACTTCCATCACTGTCACTGTGGAGAAAAATAGCCGGGAGCTGGCAGAGCTGCTCAGAGAGCCTCGGGTCAGCGCTTAAGGGACTTCATCCCCCATGGCTAACAAGGCCAGCAAAGCTCAGGGGCCAGCATGAAAGGAGATGTTGGTGGTCAGTATGGATGAGAACAGAGGTGTGGAGGTGGTGCTCTTGAGCATGCAACTTGCAGCAGAGCGGAGCCACTGAGAGCATGAGGATGAGGATGAGGAGGAAGGAGAGCCAGGGTCAGGCACTTACGGAACACAGGGCTCTGGGCGATGCTGTCCACGGAGTTGGGCCCCTCGGGGCAGTACTCAAAGCCGGCTGTGAAGTTGTACTCGGCGGTGCCGCCCGGCGACACCTCCACCTTGGCGGACTCGCCGAGGAGCGCGCCGTTGAACTCGGYGCTCAGCACCGTGAGCGGCGTCTCGCTCCGGCTGCCCTTCTGCCAAGCACACACAGCGCCCTGAGCGGCGGGAGAGCCTCCCACCGAGCCTCTCCCCGGGGAGCGGGTCCCTGCTGGCCGAGCAGGGGGGTAGTGGGCTCTGGGGCTGCTCTCTACAAGGGGACGAGGGACCAAACATCCGCATACGGGTGACAAGGGACAGCGGGAGCCCGCGGTGCCCGGCAGCCCGTTCCAACAGGCACTGCCTCAGCGCTGCTAGGAAGCGTGGGGAGAAAACAGGTAGGGATAAACGTCCCTGGGTAAGGAACAGCTTCTGTGCCCAGTCAGGGTGGCCAGCGCCCTGAGCACACGGGCTGCCCTGCCCAGGCCATGCCGGGCTTCATCCCGGGCCACAGACACGCCTGGCTCTGTCCCGGAGCTTCCCAACTTCCTTTCCCTGGGGTAATCAATTCCATATTGACTTTTGCACAAAATGAGATTTCATTCACTTGGCTTTAATTTCCAGTCCTTTCAACTGTCTCCTTGAGCATATATTATATGAAGAGCTAAATAGAAGAATTCAATTAACCTTTTTTTCCTCCTCTTCTTTTTCCTCTCTCTGTAACATTCATTATTCCATACTCCTCTCACCCTCCTCTAGCTAAATGGATTCCCACACTTCATATCTTTGGATTTTTTTTTTCTTCATACTGCTGGTCTTACAGGACCTCCGCAGCCCTCTTCCCTTTTGCTGCTGCTCCTAAGACGGAGCAACGGGAGCCACCTGCCCCCTTGCAGACGCAATCAGGCCACCATCCACTGTTTTCAGTACCATTCTCCCCCTTGTTGCCTTGCAATTCTCCTCTTAGGTGCTGTTTGCTGAATCTCTCAGTGCAAGAGGCACTCGAATACTACAACAACGAATCTCAGAGACAGACAGAGGGGCCTGGGGTTGCTTTTTGGCTGCTGCCGGAGCAGAGACCTGCACGTTGCTGTCCGCAGCAGCGGCGACGCGGCTCCTCCGCGCTGCCTCCAAACGCGGGTCCCTCTCCGTGTCTAAGGGCACCCGGGTGCGTCGCGGGGCACATGGAAACCCTCACGCTCGGGTTTTGATCCCAGCGCTTATTCTTACCTCGTAGCAGCGCTGAGACTACCGCCTGGCTAGAACCAGAGCCGTCCTATAGATTTCAGTGCAATTTAACGTGGATGGCAGGCTGGCTTTGCACCCAGGGACAATGACAGCTCTTTTTAGAGGCATCTGTCTCGCTGCTACGCGCTCTTGCCTTGCCCCAAAAAGCCGTCAGTGCCATCCTGCTCCTTCCCGGGGCTGGAGACCCCTGTAACGGCGCCACAGCACCACRACCCGCACCCCAGCACCGCGGAGCCGCCTCCACGGGGCTTTACCAGGCCCTGCGCCATCCACACGGCCACCTGCACCGTCCGGCCGGGCACGGGCTCCCGCTCCACGGGCAGAGGCGTCGCCGAYGGCGTGGCCAAGGACCCTCTCCGGCCAGCCGCTGCCATGGCTCTGTGAAACAGGGAGGAGGGAAAGGGCAGGCCCAGRCCCGGGCCCAGGCCCAGGCCGAGGCGGCGGGGTCGGGTCGGGCCGGATCGAGTCGAACCGGGTCGGGCGCGGCGGCAGCGGGACGCGAACACGCGGCCTACGTGCGTTCTCGGGCGCCGCGCGTCCCGTAACCACGGCGACCCGCGCCTCTCGCGAGAGCTCCGCCCGCGCGCACGCGCTTTTGAAGGGGATCCGTGACGCCGGCGCCGCCATGTCGAGTGTGGGCAGCCCTGTCCAGGGTGCGGGGCTCCCTGCGTCCCCCCGGCCCTTGTCTCCGTCCTGCACACCCCAGGGACCGGTGCCCCACACCCCAGGGACTGGTGACCCACATCCTAGTGACCAGTGCCCCACACCACAGTGACCGGTGCCCCACACCTCAGTGACCAGTGCCCCACATCCCCATGCCACACATCCCAGTGCCCATGTCCCCATACTCCATGTCCCCATGACCGGCATTCCCCYGCTCTCTGTGCCCATGCCCTACAGTCCCACGTCTCCATGTCCCTGCACCTCATGTCCCTGTCGTTCCCACTGCCTGGCATCCCTGTGTCCCATTTCTCCATGTCCCCACTCAGGGCCAAGGCCCCCTGCCAGGGACATGGGGGGAATGTGATGAGCCCAAGTCCTGGAGCGGTGCTGAGCTGGTGACCCACTGCGCTGCAGAGCAGGACCAGGGGACAAGGGCCCATGGTGGCACACGGCTGCGCTTGTGTTGGGAGGTTGGGGAGTCTGGCACCCCAGCTGGGCTGGAGGTTGGGGTGTCTGGCACCCCAGCCCCACGGCCCCCCACTTCCCTGCTTCCTGTGGCCTCCAAGTCCCACCCAGAGCATCCCAATTTCCACGGTGCCCAGAGCACCCCATGCCCTCCTGGGCAGCCCGGTGCCTGCTTGGTCTGCCCGGCACAGCGCTGCCCTCGCCGCCAAGGCACGTGGCTGTGCGGGCCGGCGCCGCGGGATATTCTTAGCTGGGAGCTGCCCCTCGGCGTTCCTGCCTTTGGGAAGCGGTCCCAGAGGCACAGGCGGACGCTGCCCAGGCGCCAGCGTGAGGGTGCTCCGGGAGGCACAGGGACRCGCGGAGGACGAGGTGAGTCCCGCAGCACCCAACGCCCACAGCACCCGCTTCCCTCTGCCCTGCCCACCCTGCGCTCCGCTTCAGAACCGGCCCATGGAGCATCCCGTCTCCCACTGATGGGTCTGGACGGGATGGGAAGGGAGGTGTGGGGACAAGGCGCTCCATCCTCTCCAGCCATGGGAATGGCACTGTGGGGTGGCGGAGCCGGAGGCTCAGAGCCATCCCTGCTCCAAGGGAACGGAGCCAGAGCTCCGAGCCATCCCGGCTCTGGGGTGGCAACAAGGMGCTAGGAGCAATCCCTGCTCCAGGATGGCCACACGGGGTGCCCAGGCCGGGGCTGGCGGGTGCCGCGCGCGGGATCCAGGGCAGAAGGGGTTACCCAGCGCAGCCCGGCTCCTTTTGGCCGTGTCGGCCGGGAGTGGAGCGGTTGGCCCGTTGGCTGGSAGGGGATGACCGGAATAGCTTCGCTATCGGATTCCTGCGGAGGGGCCGCGCGCTTCGGGCGGCACCATCTCCTTGGGGCTGACATTTGAGCACAGCCCTTGGCTGCCAGCTCCAGGAGGTGCCTCCCAAGCACGGAGCCGGTGGCAGCGGGGGGACGTCGGAGCCATCCCGGGCCTCGTCCGGACCCCTCTGCGTGGCCATGGCCCACCGGAACACCGGCACTGCCCCAAAAACTGCCCGCGCCAAGAAGGCCGCCAAGGAGCCGGCAGCTCGGCCCGCGGGGCCCGACATGGACTCCCTGGGCTTCCAGGCCATGGACAGCAACGTGCCGGGTCTGTCGCACGTCATCCTCCAGAAGCTCAACATGAAGAGCTACGACGACTACAAGTGAGTGCGTGTGGCTCGGGCAGCCCCCCAGCAGTGTCCCCGGTAGCTCCGGCCACCTCCGGGTCCCTCGTGCAGGTGACCAGGCACCCAGCTCAGCCCGCAGGCGGGTGGCTTTGCCGGGGCACTGCCAGCACCTACCCCACGTGCATCCCACCCCGCATTGGGGCAGGATGAAGGATGTACATACATGTCCTCAACCCCAACCAGCCTAGAGCAGGATGGGTTTTGCAAGGCCTGAAGCCCCAGGTGGCTCTTGGAGAGGCCATCAGCCTTGCGTTGACAGCAAGGTGGAGTGGCCATGGCCAGGACAGTGGCAGTGAGGCCATGGATGAAACGCCTGCAGTGGGGTTGGACCCTGCTCCTCACCGTGTGTCTCTGGGCTCCTCAGGTCTGCCCTGGATGGGAAGAAGAAGGGCAAGGATTTTGGCATCCGCACTTACTTTGACATGTTCCAGAAGATGGAGGACACTTTCAAGTTTTGCGTTGAGTGCAAGAAACTCCCCGATGCCCTTCCTGACCCCAAAAGTCTCCGTCGATGCAAGAGGTAGGGGAGGGAGAGGGTCCCCCAGCATGAGGCTGGACGTGTCTTCTGGCTCCCAGGACAGCCTGTGGGCTGGTGACAAAGGGAGCAACAGCAGGGTGAAGTTTGGGGTGCTGCACACGCTGTCCAGCCTTGATGCCTCCCTTGGTCCCAATGGCCACAGCCAGGCTCTTCCCCCTCATGGGGCTCAGCTGTCCCAAATGAGGTGGCCCTGGGGTGATGGCAGAGGAGCTTGGCTGCCCAGGACAGGCCTTGGTGGGCCGGCCACCCCGATATCCGTCACGCTCCCTCTCTCCCCAGGTGCCAGAACGTGTACTACTGTGGCACAGCGTGCCAGCGCGCCAACTGGCCACTGCACAAGAAGTTCTGCAAGAAGCTGAAGCTGGTGGCCCTGGACCGGCTGGTGGAGTGGCTGGTCTTCACAGGTAGGAGAGGGACATTTCCTTGAGCCACTGGTGGCCCAGCTCCCGCGGGTGCTCAGGTTGGACTCACGGGGGATGGGGTGCTGCCCATCTGCCTGTCCTTGGCAGTTCTGCTGGCCCTGGGGAATGTAGGGACGTAAGTGCCCTGTGCCGTGTCCCTGCTGCCCCAGCTCCTCGCTGCTGAGAGCCTGTCCTTCCTCCAGCCACCCCATGCCCAAATGGATGGATGGGCCCAGCACAGGGTCTAGGGCACGGTGGGCATCCCTGCTCCCTTGGTGCTAGCTCAGGTCTGTATCGGGGGACACAGGCCGTGCAGGGGCACTGCTGAAAGCCACCACACCTCCTCCTGCAGGAGACATCCCCTTCCCCACGGAGACCTGGACAAAGCCTGTCCAGGACGTCAAGGGCTGGGAGGACTGGTTCGCCATGCAGGGGCAGCTGGAGGAGAAGCTGGCGGCCATCCTGGGCGGGCGCTACATGACCCTGCTCTGGGCCAACGCCGGGAAGCCCAGGCCCGAGGACGGAGAGCTGTGCGAGTCCATCAAACGGCTCGTCACGGACTTCCACTCGCGGCCCGTCACCATCGGCCTGGGGATGCGGCTCTTCGGCATCGAGCCCCTCGCCAGGCCCCTCACTGTGCACGTGGTGGGGGCATCACACGTCGAGACCCTCAACACGCGGGCCACGGACTACGACGAGCTGACGCGGATGTTCCCAGGGCACCAGGGCATGGAGGTGGTCATGGTGGGCGTGGATGTGGTTGACGGACCCATCATGAGGCCACCACTGGCRGCACTGGGGCCTCGGGGAAGGGTCTATCTCAGCAGCTACAAGGGCCTCTACCACGACTTCTGGGAAAGCCAGGTGGAGACCCAGCAGGCCGCCCGCCCCGACCTGGTGGTGGGCTTCCACCCAGGTGGGTACCCATGGGACAGCGTGGCGAGGGGACACACGGAGCTGAGCCAGCGGGGAGGAGCAGGGATGGCCCTGGGGTCTCCCTGCATTGGGGCACCAGCTCGGGGGTTGGTGGGTTGGCCTGTCGTTCAGCCTGGGGAGCTGGTGGGCGTCCTCCTACCTGCTCCTGCCCACCGTGCTGCCCCTTGCAGGCTTCCACGCCTGCCCCGACCTCATGGAGGGCTGGCTGCCCACGCTGCTGCTGCTGCGCGACTACCGCCTGCCCACCCTCTTCACCGTGTACAGGTGAGTGCTGCCCTCCTCCTCGCCACCGGTGCCCGTGTGGGCGACCTGGCCAGGGCCCATAACGGCCCATAACGGGCAGTAACAGTGCTCGTCGCGCGGACCCTCTCCCCGCAGCGAGCAGGAGCTGAAGGCCTCGCTGCAGATCCTGCTGGAGCTCGAGACGCACATCACGGGCTACGGCGCCAACCCCTTCGCCTCGCTGCGCCCCGAGCAGGTCTACTCCAGCCCCAACAAGGCGCCSGTCTACTGCAGCTCCCACTACATCGCCTGCCTGGGGCCGCTGGGCCCCGACGCGCCGCACGTCCAGGAGCTCGAAGACGACGGTGAGGACTAGGGGGCTCTTCCAGGCACCGGGGCTGAGCCTGAGGTGCCGCAGCCGGGGTGACACAGGGTGCACCTGGGCACCACCTTGCCTGGGCAACGTTGCAGGGTACCTCTGCATGCATCCAACAGCCTGTCCTGAACACTCCCTCCTCCACAGAGCCAAATAAACCAGCGCCAGCCACCCCGTCGTCAGCTTTATTTCCGAAAAGGCCGTTGTTTTCCCAAAGAAAACGGGGCCCGGAGCTGCCCCAGGCCCTGCCGTGGCCACGGCCTGTGACGGGGCGCCAAGGGGGAGCAGAGCCTGTGGCCGGGCCGGCCCGCACGTGCCCGCCGTGCCTTCAGCCGGCCCTGGCGCCGAACCCGCCTCGCGGGGCTCTGAGTGGCCCCGCGGCGACCGGATCCCAACCCAACGGGCCGGCACCGGAGGAGCGGGACGCGCCACCCCGGGCTCACTCGGCGCCGGYGCGTTCCCGCAGCGCGGGCAGCGTCAGCGTCTCCGGCGCCGACTTCTTGCGCGGCCGGCTCTTGGGGGCGGCGAGGAACTCGGGGGCGTCGTCGGCGAGCGGCGTGGAGGGCGCGCTGGCGGGCGCCGAGCGCGGCGCGGCCGGCGGCCCCACCTCGCTCACCGAGATGGTGGGCGCCACGGGGCCCACGAGCTCGTTGGTGGCCTCCTGCGTCTCCCGCTCGTAGCGCCGCACCTCCTCCATGGTCATGCCTGCCGGGGCGCACCGGTGTTGGGGGCCATCCGGGCTGGCGGCCACTGCTGTCCCCACTGCAGCTGCTTGGTGCGGTGAGGGGGCTCCCGTGCGTGGGGGTAGCGGGACCCTGCCCGCCCCGTGAGGAGCGGGCAGCTCCGTGGGGAGTGGGCAGCTCCGTGAGGAGCGGGCAGCTCCGTGCACGTCCCTGCTGCAGCGACCCAGCTCCCTGCAGCCCTTCCTCCGGCAGCCACCCTCTGGCCAGCGAGCAGAGGGATGGGGATGGAAGGAGAGAGAGGCAGGGACATGCGAGCTGTGCACAAGGCAGGAGCCATGCATGGGGTGGGAGCTGGCAYGGGGACAGAGCTGTGCATGCACTGGGAGTCCTGCATGGAGAGGGAAGTTGTGCATTGGGAGGGATCCATGCAAGGGCATTGATCCATGGATTGGGATGCATAGGGTGGGAGTTGGCATGGGGACGGAGCTGTGCACGCACTGGGAGTCCTGCTTGGGGAGGGAAGCTGTGCATGGGGAGAGAAGCTGTGCATGGGGACGGATCCATGCAAGAGCATTGACCCATGGATTGGGATGGAGCCATGCGTAGGGTGGGAACATGCACGGGGAAGATTCAATGCACAGGGACACGATGTGCATGGGCAGGGAGTCCTGCGTGGGGAGGGATCCATGCAAGGGCATTGATCCATGGATTGGGATGGAGCCATGCATGGGGTGGGAGCATACACAGGGAAGATTCCATGCACAGGGACATGATGTGCATGGGCAGGGAGTCCTGCGTGGGGCAGCCCTGCCACCAGGAGCCCCGCGGCTCCGCGTGCCCAGCGGGCCGCCAGGGGCACGTACATACAYGGGGAGTCCAGGCTGGGCGGGAGCTAGGGGTCCTGGCTCCCAAATTTTTGGTTCGTGGCCACTTGCATCTGAGTCTCGAAGGCCCGAACCTCTTCCAGGGACATGTCTGGAAGGCAGAGAGCCGTTTGCCGTGGGGACGGTGTGGGAACGGGCCGCCCGTGGTGCCCAGCGCTCGGCATGGCCGGGCTGGGGAGCAGGCGCAGGGCCGAGTGGTTAGTGGGGTTATTTGGTGAGCTGAAACCTCGCTGAGCCCCGAGGGGAAGGACACRCGGGCACGGTGAGCTGAACCTCCCTCACGCTCCCCTACATGCGAGCCCTGCGGTGCCACCGAGCAGCGGGGAGCGCGCGGGCACCGAGCACAGCGAGCCGGAGGAAGAGCTGAAGGCATGAGCAGCGTTAGTGGGGTTAGCCCTGCGTGGGAGCCGCCCCACCGCGCGTCCCRGGGATGCTGAGGGGCCCCCCATCCTCACCACACCACTCGTCCACCCAGGCGAAGGCCTGCCGGTGTCCTATCAAGAGGATGTCGCGGATGACCTGCGGGGCGGGCACGGCGGCGCGCTCGGACCAGGCGGCGCGGGCGCCCCGCGCGCCCTCCCCGCCRCCCCTCACCTTGTGCACGAACTGCTCCACGCGGCTCTGCAGCCCCCACACCTCGAACTTGACGCTCACCAGCTTGTAGGAGCACATGATGGGCTTGGTGTGCAGGCGCCAGCCTTCCCGCAGCGGCCCCCGGCCCGTCTTGGCCGAGCTGAAGTAGCGCGGGTCCTGGTGCAGCGAGAGCGGCCGTGAGGCTCAGGCTGCGGGASCCGCTGCCCCCCGGAGCCCCCTTTACCTCCAGGCTGCGGTAGTAGCGCTCGGGGATCTCATCGAAGGCGATGTCCAGGAAGGAGACCTCATGGTCCCCCAGGATTTTGTCRCTGTGGAAGATCTGGGGAGCGAGGAGGAGTGAGGATGCGGGCAGGCGCAGCAGTGAGCCTGCCAGGTTCAGCCGCCCCGCCGAGGGGCAGGGGTGACTCACGTTCTCACTGTCCCCACAGTTGTCCTCGTACTTGGTCTCAATGTAGATGGAGAACTTGGGCAGGAAGGAGCACTGCCGGGAGAGAGGCACRGTGGGTGATGGGACACCTGGGAGGGCAGCACGGGGACAAGGTGCCAGGGACGGGGAATGCGATGGGGGAACACTTGGGAGGGAATGCGGACCAGGACAGGGAGACACCTGGGATAAGGGCACAGGGACCTGGTCAGGGGGACACCCAGGATAGGGGCAAGGGGACAGGATGRAGAGGACACCTGGGAACTGGGCCAGGGGGGACACTCATGTGGGAGCACGTGGACTGRTACGGGGGGACAGGGGGACCAGCACCCCGCGCAGGAGCAGGGCCACGTCAGGCCGGGGGGTGCCACCTTACCGTGTACTCTGCAGGGGCGGCGGGCACCCGGCACGGCCGGCGGGCAGGACAAAGGCACGAGGTGAGGGGACGCGGCGGGCAGCGCGGCGCCACCAGCCTGTCCCCCAGCCCGGACCCGCGCGCCCGCCGCGGCCTCACCSGTGATGGTGTAGGGGTAGTAGTTCCAGGCCTTCTCGGTGATGTAGAAGATGCGGGGGGTCACTGCCCGGGCCCAGCTGGGCAGCTTGCTGGCAACGAGCAGTACAGGGGGTCCAGTCAGGACCGGGGACAGGGCACGTCCTGAGCCCGGCCCTGCTGCCACCCAGCCCAGCCCTGCTGAGTGCAGCCCCCATTTGCTCCCCAGGACCCCATCCCAAAACCAAGGACCCTCATCCCATCACCAGGGACCCCCATCCCACACCTGGCATCCCTCCATACCCCACCCCAACCTCCTCCCCAGGAGCACCCCAGCGCCTCACCCCACAGACCCCCCAGGACCCCCGAGCTCAGTGACCCCCAGGCATCCCCACGCCCAGCACCAAGCCCCCTCCCTGCCAGGGGGCTCCGGTGCCCCCCATCCCCGCACACCCAGCACGGGCTCCGGTGTTCGCCGCCGCCTCCCAGCCGCTCTGGCTTCATCTGCRGGCGTTATTTATAACAGCCCCGCGGGGAGAACCGGGAGCACCGCCGCTAAGAATAGCCGGGCTACGGGCAGCGGCTGGGGGGGACGCGGCGCGGCGCCCGCGCGCACCTGGACAGGTGCACCCGCTTCTCGGTGAACTGCCCCGGGCCGTGCACGGGGTCCTCGTGCGGCTCGTTCTTCACCACCTCGACGCCCTCGCCCTTCTCGCTCTCCTGGTGGCTGTGCTTGCTGATGGTGTAGAGCTGCCCCACGCGGTACTGCGGCGAGGAGCGGGGCAGGGTTCTTTCTATATATTTCTATATATACTCCCTGTATGTGTATTCTATATATATCTTTCTCTGTGTTTCTCGAAGCACCAGGGGACCGCTCGTGCCCTGCCGCATCGGCGGATGCTTCGCCCCACAGGCGACTCAGAGTGTTATTTCCCTGCTCGCACAAACCCAGCCATGGAGCTCACCCCAGCTGGCACCCAAACTGGGAGCCCCCAGCTCACCACAGGCAGCCCAAGGTGTTCCTGGACCCAGGAACGGTGGGAACCTCGGAGCAACAGGGACTTGGGAGCAACGGGGGGACTCTTGAGCTACGCCACAGCCTGGCACCCCTGTCCCGGCCTCCCTCTATGCCAGAGCTGGGGGCTGCTGGGCACCCAAGACAGCCCTGTCTCCCCCCATCTGCTCCTTGCTGCATCTCGCAGTCAGCCCGGTGGCTCTGCAGCACCCAGAGCCCTCCCGAGCCGCTTCTTGCTCAGTAAATAACGTGGGAGCTCACAGAAAGGGAAAAAATACATATATATATATTCGATATATATGTATTATATATATAGACACACACAGAGATTTATATGAGATGGCACAGCTGCACAAGAGCTGTTTTACTGCTGCTCCGAAGATGCTGCTCAGGGCTCTGGCTGCTGGAGCGACGTTCCCACCCAGCACCAAGGGCCCGGGGCACGAGGCGAAGGGCTGCCCTGGTGTCGCCCCGCGCCGCCCCTTCGCGGGCCGCTGCGCACAGTGGCCTTTGGTCCTTYGCTGCAGGGCATGTACATGTGACCTGGCACCGGTGCTGCCAGCCGAGGCACCCAACGGCCCCTTGATGTCCCCTGGGGGCTGCATGGCTGAGGGGTCCGTGCTCGGGGCTGGCACAGTGCAGGGAGGTGATAGAGGACAGAGCCCCAGAATAGGCTGCCCAGGGAGGTTGTGGATCTCCTTCTCTGGAGATCTTCAAAACCCACCTGGATGCCGCCCTGTGCCCCGTGYTCTGGGTGTCCCTGCTGGAGCAGGGGGGTTTCACTAGACGATCTCTAGAGCTCCCTTCCAACCTCAACCATTCTGTGATTCTGTGAGGTGCTGGAGCAGGGAGCGAGCCTGGGCACAGCTCTGGCACAAGCCCTGCACGCTACGGGCACGGTGTGGGGCAG